TTTCATTCATTCTACTCACAGCTAAAGAGTCACCAAAATAATAACAGTACCTTTAACTCAAACAAAATCTACGAAATTATAGGCTCCACGAAATTATACAATCAACGAAATTATACGCACGACTCAACACCTTACCTAAGTACACTTCTGAACGCCAAAACCGTCTTTTCCCTTCGAAGGCGGAGCTTAAGCGATGCGCGACGAAATCGACGCAAACCGTTGCCGCCAAGAGAGTGTTTTAGCTGTATTGTATAAGCTGTGGTTTAAGTATACATATATTAAACCGTTGTTATGTGCTGAATTGGTGTAGTGGTTCCCACATAACATCAATGTTCTATGAATATACTAAGAACGTTCTGTTTATGTTCTTTTTAGTATGTCCTTTTTAGAATGTTCTTAAAACATACCTAGTATATACTTTGAAAGTATATTCTAGAAAGTATATGCTGAGTACGTGCCTTAAAAGTATATTCCAAAAAGTATATACTGAGCACGTGCTATAATAGGACATTCTAAGAAGATACTAAAAGTCATATACCCAGCATGTACCTCATATTCTGAGAATGTTCTAAATGCTTGCAGGTAAAAATTAACACCAAATACATGTAAAAAACGTTTATATACATATCTATATGAATATATAAATTTTTCCCAGATGCCGATCTATTAATTCGTTAGCAAACGCACTAATGTTTAGGCCAAAAACAACCTTAATAAAAAAAGATAAGAAAAAGAATAATTTAACCTACAATTCCTACAAATTCGTTTCAGTACAGAGATAAGACATCTTCTCTGTGTTTCAGTAAATAAATTAGTAAAAATTAATTGCATCGTGTGTTCTATATAAAAATAAACAAATTTTACAATATTTGTAGTTTTTAGGACCTATAAGTTATGTTAGAACACAGGATATCCCAAATATTAATTGCCAGTGTGAATTTATTAATATGGTTAATACTAATGGCGGATTGCAACTAAAATTACATACACTCTTTTTATGAAAAAAATCCTGTAAGGCCAGAAATTGACCTGGAAGAACTAGAAAATAAGCTAAAGGAGGAGGAAAACTACAAAATGGTGGTAAGTAATTAACAAAAATATATTTAAACTTTCACTAAACATAATAATCATTTATGTAACTCTTGTTTTTGTTAGTGAAATGCCATGTATAATTTTTAATGTTACACGTTCGAAAAAAATATTCCATTAGCTATGTACAGTTAATTTGTATATGTACCAAGTTGATTTTTTTTTCTAGATTGAATGAAGATCCAATGGAATCAAGCAAATGAAACTCAAGCAATTGATACAATGAAATATTGGTTGGTTAAGGCCAAAGAAAGAATTTGTATTAAAAATAAGAATAAGTATGAATTTTTTGAAATAAAGATTTTATTATATACACTTATTCTTTATTGTTCAATATTTATGAAACATCCTGTATTAGGGTGTCCAGTATATGCCTAGCATATGCTATATTTAAATACTAAGCATATACTTAGAACGTACTATCAAATTAAAGTAGATACCTATTGCATACGGTACACATACTCGAGTACATTCTCAGCATCTGCATAGCACGTATAAACAACGTCACGTAGCATATTCTTGGTATATTCTGAGAATGTTCCAAATGCAAATAAAGTATATTCTCAGCACATGCACATTCTTAAAAAGCATATACTGAGAATATGCTATGAATGCATAATTGTTATCTCGGTTAGGGTTTCGGGCTCATAACGCAAAGATCTTAGGTTCAAACCCGGGCCTCGGCGGTAAGTATACCTTGTTTTTTTTTCAATTTATATTTCTCTGCGTGCGAGAAGATAAACTTCTCGCACTCGAAAGAGTGCGAGAAGATCATCTTCTCGCACGCTTGTAGAAAAAAATATTTAAACTTGTAGTCAAGTTAGGATTGGTTCATACTACTCATTTTTTGTTTTAATCTAACAAATATAATTGTATCGCTACAATAACGTAAAAACGGAGTTAGTATGAACAAATCTTAATTTGACTACCACTTTTAAACTAAATAGTGAATGACAATTTTGAATTTTCCCTCGTTTTGTATTAACTAAAGTGACCGCAAGATGGCGCCACTTCCTTCCAAATAGTTCAAAGAATTTGCGTACGGTGCTACAATACTGTCTTGATTTTTAACATTCCCATTTCCATTCTAAAAGTAAGTGATCTGTGGAGCTTAGTCCCAGTTTTCACCAGGCCAGAGCAACTTCGACATTATTACTTTGATTATGTCCATGAATCAGGCTATGACGTAAAACACTGCAGTGTTACAAATGTTAGCAACCAATCAACAAAACCAACAAGTGCAAGAGGATCATTGAAATTATACCGTGATACCTGATTTTTCGAAAACTATTAATAATTTTAGCGGTGTAGATTTATCAAAGAGTAAAACTAGAGAGTACAGCAGCCTTGTGTTACGCTGGTTTTCGGTAACGCAATTTATTTCAACTCAACTTTTACAATTCAACTATATAACTGATAACGTATAAATTTATCATCAAACTCTAACTCCGACGTCAGGTACATCGACTTATATAGCTTGCTAGAAACTTCTCAAATCATCCAGATTTTTTTTGATAGGGAATGATATTTATAGACCTTTCTAGACATTTCTAGACATTTTTAGACATTTCTAGACATTTCTAGACATTTCTAGACATTTATAGACATTTCTAGACATTTCTAGACATTTCTAGACATTTTTAGACATTTCTAGACATTTCTAGACATTTCTAGACTATTAACTTATTCTTCTACTTGTTCTTTTACTTATGATGACTGCAGCACACTGTAGGGTGATGGGTGACATTGTACTTCTATTTTTACTTTCCTATCTGTATACAAATATAAGGAAAGTATAGGAATCATGATTTTTTTCGACCTCGAGTTTTCGACGGATTTTTACGTTTTGAGGTCCCCTGAATCCGTTTTGACTATTTTCGCGATGATGTCTGTGTGTGTGTGTGTGTGTGTGTGTGTGTCTGTGTGTGTGTCTGTGTGTGTGTCTGTGTGTGTGTGTGTGTGTGTGTGTGTGTGTGTGTGTGTGTGTGTGTGTGTGTGTGTGTGTGTGTGTGTGTGTGTGTGTGTGTGTGTGTGTGTGTGTGTGTGTGTGTGTGTGTGTGTCTGTATAACGCATAACTCATGAACCGAATCACGGAAAAACACCAAATTTCTAACTTAAGCTTTATTCCAGCGTCTAATGAGCTGATTAGATTTTGGGCAGAGTCGGAACATCTGGGGGGGTACTTTATAGGTGGTCATTTTTATATTTTATGGAATATATCTGTTATTTACGTTTGGGGAAGAAAAATTTTTAAATAAAAGTTACTTCTTATTTTATTATCTATAATTTTTGTCATTTACAAAATTTTCCTAAAATGGTCCGTATTCGAGAAATTTGACAAAATGTAAAAAATATTTTTTTTTATAAAAATTGTTCAAACAAAAGTTGTTTGTAATATAATTCTCTATAATTTTTGTCCCATAAATAATTTCTCTAAAATGGACCGTATTCGAGATATTTGAGAAAATGTGTAAATTTCGAAATTTGAAGAAAACTCAAAAACGGATAAAGAAAAAATCAATAAATTTTAAACTTAAGTTTTAATTTCGGCCTGACGTGAAATGATTAGATTTTGGACAAAGTCGGAACATCTGGGGGGTACTTTATGGGAGGCCGTTTATATATTTTATGGAATATATCTGTTATTTATGTTTGGAGAAGAAAATTGTTCAAATAAAAGTTACTTCTAATATTATCTATAATTTTTGCCTTATGTAAAAATTTCCTGAAATGATCCGTATTCGAGAAATTTGACAAAATGTGCAAAATTCTGATTTTTATGAAAATTGTTGAAATAAAAGTTGTTTGCGATATCGATCTCTATAATATTTGTTCATACATGATTTTTTTTAAATGGACCGTAATGGAAAAATTGTAGGAAAAGTGCTAAATTTAAATTTTTCAGTATTTTCATTTTAAATGAATATCTATAGAAAAATGTTTCGCGGTAGATGTATGTGGACATTGTATATATATTTAGTTTATCCTCTAAACATTTATAGAGATGCTGCAATAGGTTGTACACAATAAACGGAAAAAGCCTGTAATAACTAGATAGGAAAGTCATGTGTTGGACACATCAGATTTTTATTCGTACGTTTCCTATAACAGCCGTTGGCTACTGCAGGGTGAAGGGTAAGCCTTGTATATATGACCTTCAAAGTTTACCCTAGAGGTAGCCGATCTAAATTGAACGGGGCAGTCCGCCATTTCATTGGTATGAAGCTCATAGAAATCATTGTACAACGTGAACACAGTTTAAGTGTGAGTTCAAAGAAAAATTTATTTCAACCACTCCCTTGAAGCCAACCCAATTACTACAATATCAAGGGGAGTGAGACTAAGAATAACTTCCACCGTTGTGGATATTGGATATAACCTATTCATACTTTTTAATTTCGTTAATAATAGTTATCATGATTAATTATTAAATTAATTGAATAAATAAATAACTTCTACCCGATAACTTGTAGGTGACATTTGTTCGTTTTAAAAAAATGATAAACAAAGTGAAATTGTGTATTATCATTATTATTAAGTAATTTGTTTAATATTTTAATGCAACCGATGATGCCGAAATCTGTAAATAGCACCTACAGATAAGTGACATTCGTTCGTTTTAAAAATTGATAAACAAAGTGAATTTTTTATTATTATTAAGTAATTTGTTTAATATTTTAATGCAACCGAAATCTATAAATAGCACCTACAGATATGGCCAATGTAATAAACAGTGCACGTTATGGAAAAAAATATTTTTGTAAATTGTTATATAACGTACTAAAAATTACACCAACCAATTTTGTTGCTTACTTTTTTCCATTCTTTGACTGAAATGTACCAATTTTATTTTAATAACTATGATGTGTACCTATTTAGTAGTTTTATTGTTCCAATATATATTACTTACTTTTTTTACCTTAGCACCTTCGGTAGACGATACTACAAAACTGACATCACTCGGGGCACTTAGTGCCGATTTAATCATTAACGTTGCCAAAAACGGCAATATCATTAATTTCAAATACCTGAAACGAATTAAAAATTATTAGTATCTATATAATTATAATTATCATAATGAAAAAATTTGCATGCATTTTAAGGATTTACTACTGTCATTATAAACGATAGCAATAAAATAGGAACATATTTTAAATTAATTGCATTGTAAATAACTTTATAATAATTGAAGTTGACGGTGAAATTGAAATGTTTTGGGTTGGTACTTTAGTCACTTTCACTGCATTACATTTTAACCTTGAAATATGCCAAATTAATGATGGCGCACATACTTTGATTTTCTTTTACTATACGGAGAATGGTCGCACTGCGCAGCTTTCTGAGTGGCTTTTAAAAGGAGATAGAAAACTCCGCCATTTTGAACCCTTATTACGTGTTGCCTACATCTTGGCGCAATATTTTTAATAGGTGCGTTTTAATCATCCGCTTCTGCTTCGGAATTGTCGGTTTTCTTGTTTTAATCTGACAGGTTAAGACGACTAAACCTACAATTCCGGAAGCAGAAGCGGATGATTAAAACGCACCTGATATTTTGCTTGCTGCTGTCAGTGTCAGTGAATATTATTTTTGAAGTCACAGTTTATTGCTAAAGAATCAGTTAGCTCACTCGGACCAGTTGAAAGTTCCAAAATAACATCCACTCCAGGGATACAAATTCAGGATACGCAGAAGACTGCTGTTTTATTATGGGCGGTTGTCATATATTGTATTATCCGAGTTCCACAGTGTATAAACTAAAACATTGAGATCCAAAGTGCCGACGCAGAGTGAGCGATCTGATTCTTTAGCTGTAAACTGTGTCACAGGGTTCAAAATGGCCGCGCCCTATGTTGGGCGTGTCAAACCTCTCTCTTGCCTCGTATAGTAATCAAAGTATGTGTGATGGCGTAATTACGGTTCCACTGACAATTAAAGTGAGTGCTTTTTTGGTTCGTAAGTGGATAACATGCATCAAGTATATAATCATTTAGCAACCAATTACATACATTTAAACAACTTTTTATGACCAGCAAACGATAATTAATAAAAAAATAAACACAGTAAAAACGTATATGTCAAATATTGTTAAAAGTTTGGTTATAATTAACTGTCAGTGGAACCAAAATTTCGTCAGACTTTTATGATGTATTGCAACTAAACGTTTGTGTCAAATTTGTTAAACTGTTTATTAAGAAAATTATATCCCATGCGGTCCATATGTTTGAAATAAATTTATTTTTAGCGTTTTTATGTACTCTTGGCAAAAAACCTGAAACAAGTCGATTTCTATTTTTAATTTGGCAATTTAATGTATAAAAATATTACCTTTTTCCTGTACTCCTTTGAAAAATTTAAATAAGAAAAAAGGTCGAGTGGCACCTTATTTAAAAGGAGTTTTAATTATCTATTTAGAAATATAAAGTTTTTAAATTTGGTGTAATCAAAACAGAAAATTTATGTTGAAAATGTAAAATTATTATTATGATCCTATTAGTGAACTTTATGTAGAATGAAACAAAGAATGTTACATAATATTTAGAGTTTATTTTTTCTTATTTAAAATTTTCGAGAGGGTGCTCATATTTCAAAGGGGGTGCAGGAGGGGGTAATATTTTCATACTTGCCAAATTGAGAATAGAAATAGATCTGTTCCAGGGTTTTTTTTTTTCGAAAAGTACAGAATAACCCTAAAACTGAATTTATTACATACATAAGGACCGCATAGTATAAACACATTATTTTAAAATCACATAAATAACCTAAAAATATAAATTCAATTTTAATATATTTATTATTCTCGTACGTGTTAATCTCAAGTTTTTTGGTACCTCACTGCGCTCTGGCTGATTGCGTCTAGCGATGCAATATGTTGATTGAATGCGAGAGGTTACAGTGAATGCCTGTAGTTGAAAAGAGAGGTCAAAAAATCAGTGAAACAGCGTGCCTGCTATTTTTAGCATCATTTTGTGAATCGCACGTAGATTACGTCACGACAGTTGGCTTCGCTTGGTCCAATGATTAGTCATTGTGTTTGGTCAAGGTCTGACTGGGGACTGTAATCCACGTGTAGTTGATTTTTGCTTTTTTGGTACAGAGCTCAAAACATGGGTTGATGTAAAAAACCGATTTTACCTAAATTTTGAAGATCAACGCAACATAGATTGCTTGGTTTAAGATTTAATATATTTGCATTATTTAAAAAATGAGAGTCTCTATTACTTTGGCATGAGATGTCAAGATTCCAGGAGCCTTAATATTTCAAAATAAAATTCTCTAAATTTACACGATACATCCCCTGTGCATTTTCAAAAAATAAGTTTTTATACAATTATATTATACAGGGTGCCTGTAAAAGGTCTTTACAAAAACATACATAGGCGTAGAACTTGATTTTTTAAATAATTGCACCTTTAAAAATTCTACGCCAATGGAAGAAAATGAGTTTGAGTATGAAATTTAGATTGCGCAACTTATTTACTTTAAAAAAGGTACTCCTGATAAGACTCGATTACTCTCATGGTTTTGACGAAATTTGCATTTTAGTAATTTTAGAACATAAACAATAATTATTAAAATACAAACTTTGTCAAAACCATGAGAGTAAATCGAGTGTTATCAAGGGTACTTTTTTGTAGTAAATGAGTACCCAATCCAAATTTCATACTCTAACCCCTTTTTTGCCATTGGCGTAGAATTTTTAAAGGTGCAATTATTTAAAAAATCAAGTTCTACGCCTATGTATTATTATCGGACAAAATTTTATACGATGAAAAACATAAAAATGTACTTTTTTCATATCTTCTTCAACACCTCTAATCGAGACTTAACAAAAATACTCGATTCTTGCCATGTACGATTTTTTGAGGAATATTAATTATTTGCCTGCAATACGTATACAAAAACATTTATTGTTGGTTTTCATAGTTTCATCTAAATAAAAATATTGTCAAGTTTTAACACCTAATCTCTTGTTAACGATTAAAAGTGTTCTATCTGACTCAATAATTAAAAAAACAAATGCGTGTTTTATTAATATGGCTGTACAATATACCAATGCAGAATATACCGATATGTTACTGACATTAGGATTTTGTGAAGGAAATGCTCGAGATAGTGTCAGGGTGTACTCTGAAAGGTTTCCAAATCGTCGTGTACCTAGCCACCCAACTTTTGCTGCTGTTGAGAGACGTCTTCGGGAGACCGGTTCCTTTGCTCCCAACACTCTTGATAATGGAAGAGAACGTTTTGTAAGGATTCCTGAAGTTGAAGAAGACATTTTAGAACGTGTTGAAGAAGATCCAGAATTAAACACCAGACGAATTGGAAGGGAACTAGGAGTAAGTAAAGATGTCGTTCATGAAGTGCTTAGAGAACAATTGCTATATCCATACCATAAGAAGCCAGTACAAGAATTATTTGTCCATGATCCTCAAATTCGTTTGGGTTTTTGTCGATTTGTTAATATGCAAAGAGAAAGAGATCCAAACTTTGTCAAGAAGGTTCTCTTTACCGATGAAGCGGGTTTTACAAGAAGAGGTATAACTAATACCCATAATGAACATGTTTATGCCGTTGAAAATCCGCATGCAATAAAGGTAAACCATTTTCAGCACGAATTCAAAATTAATATGTGGGCTGGAATAATTGGTAATTTCATTGTTGGTCCTGTCATACTACCACGAAGATTAACTGGAGAGAATTATTTGGATTTTCTACAAAATACGTTGCCAGAATTGTTAGAAGATTTACCTCTCCAACTTCGGAGAGATATGTGGTTTATGCAAGATGGAGTTCCACGACATTTTTCTTTAAACGTTAGAAACAACTTGAATGAACAATATCCACACAAATTGATAGGCAGAGGTAATGACGCACCTGTAAACTGACCACCACGTTCCCCAGACCTAACACCGATGGATTACTTTTTATGGGAACATCTGAAATCCACAGTTTACGTATAAATCTTTGTATGCGTGAAAATGGTGAACATTTTGAACAATTTGTGTAAAATCTCTATTTTGATTATGTTGTAAATAAATATTTTTGTGAAACCTATACACTCTAAATTATTAAAACAGAAATTTAGCGAAAACCATGAGAGTAATCGAGTCTTATCAAGACTACCTTTTTTAAAGTAAATCTAAATTTCATACTCAAACTCCTTTTCTTCCATTGGCGTAGAATTTTTAAAGGTGCAATTATTTAAAAAATCAAGTTCTACGACTATGTATTATTATCGAACAAAATTTTAATACCATTTTTTTTGCCACATAAAACTCTACCAATATACTAAATTTCAGCAAAATCACATATGCCGTTTTAAATTTATATGGGAAAAACGATTTAAAAATTGTAACTTCAAGGCCCTCTGGAGCCCAAACGAAGCGAACTTTGTACTAAGCTAATTTTACTTAAATCGACTTATTTTGGTCTAAGGAATATGTTGTATGTTTTCGTAAAGACCTTTTACATAGTGTATATTATAATTATTTCAGCAATCATTTATGCATCTTCCAAATTTTATATTACAAAGAAGTTGACCGAGAAAAAGAAGAAAGACAATCCTCAAGATATAGTCCTCAATAATTTTGCGTTTATTTCAAACTCTGGTTTAACCCATACTTCTCATCTAGCCCAGGAGGAGTTATGGAAACAATCCCGCCGACTAATACAAGATTAATGTTAAAACGTTGCACTTTATACTAAAATTATAAATATAAGTCAGAAATAGAAAAGATTAGATCACTGTTAGCTTTGTTAATAAAGGTTTCATAGGAATTTTCGTTTTTTTTTTAAGTAATTTTTGAAGTGCTCTCACTTAATTTGCCCCTTGTCGAAAAGTATTAATAAATAACATTATCAAGTTTACACCATCTGGAATTATGCAACAGAGATTAATTCAATTTTTTTTAATCCTGAAGAACATGGCTGTCTTTTATTCGATGGAAGGTATCAACTGGAATGGTTTATTTGGCCACAAACCCCTTCTACAGTTGATGATATTTGCAAAATCCTAGCTCTGGACATAGT